AAACAAGGTGTTTTGTCAATTTCTAGATTTTGAAGTGACAGTATGTTTAAACTTTAGTTGGTTTCAAAACCAATATGGTAATTTCTAAAACTATATACAAAGTAAGATAGATTAACATATAGTCTGAGAAATACACTTATGTCATTTAAAAATATATATCTACAAAATAAGTCAAATATAATTTTACAGTTATAGTGAAGAAAAGTGTGTGTTGTCAGTGTTTGTATTTTGAAGTTGTTGAAGATCTGCAATGAAGAATCATGCGGGATATTTGCAATTTATTAAAGGGTGAAGAAAACAAGGTGTTGTGTCAATTTCTAGATTCTTGGATGTTTAAGCTTTTGTAAATGGTTTCAAAACCAACAAGATAATTTCTAAAACTATGATAGATAAGATAGATTAACATTTAGTCACAGAAATAAACTTATGTTATTTAAAAATATATATCTACAAAATAAGTAAAAAATTATCCAAATGGAGCCAAGACTCTTAATTTCACGGCTGAGGCAATCTAGACTTGCCAAATAATTTTAGACTTGAGATAAACTCCTCAATTCATGGATTCTCTGTGGTCTGGGAGACAGACATATCTAAGACAATTGGTTTGTTTAATCCAAGTATTCTTCACAATTAAGACCCATGCTTGCCGTAAAAGGCGACTATGATTGTAGTAAGAGGCGACTTACGGGATCGGGCGGTCAGACTTGCTGATTTGGTTTGAAGCATGTCATCGATGCTCATGTTGTCAGTCACTGGATTGTCTGGTCCAGACTGGAATATTTACAGACCGCTGTCAAATAGCTGGAATATTGCTGAGTGCGACGTAAAACAACCAACCAACCGTTCTGTGACCGACCATTGGATTGTCTGGTCCATTATCGATTATTTACAGACTGCTATCACAGACCTCTTATATTGTTGAATGTGGCGTTAAACTAACAACAATAAAAACGATACAACAAACTGAATCTTCAAGTTGGAGATTTGACCTATTGTGCAAGAATTTCAGTTATAGTAAAGAGTGAAGAAAAGTGTGTGTTGTCAGTTTTTGCATTTTGAAGTTGAAGATCAATGAAGAATGATGCGGGATATTTGCAATTTGTTAAAGGGTGAAGAAAACAAGGTGTTGTGTCAATTTCTAGATTCTTGGATGATTAAACTTTAGTAAATGGTTTCAAAATCCAACATGATAATTTCTTAAACTATGATAGATAAGATAGATTAACATTTAGTCACAGAAATAAACTTATGTTATTTAAATATATATCTACAAAATAAGTAAAAAATTATCCAAATGGAGCCAAGACTCTTAATTTCACGGCTGAGGCAATCTAGACTTGCCAAATAATTTTAGACTTGAGATAAACTCCTCAATTAATATATTCTCTAATGTCTCGGTGACAGACTATAGCCAAGACAATTGGTTTGTTAAATCCAAGTATTCTTCACAATTAAGATCCATGCTTGCCAAAAGAGGCGACTAACGGGATCGGGCGGTCAGGCCGGCTGACTTGGTTGAAGCATGTCATCGTGCTCATTATGTTAATCACTGGATTGTCTGGTCCAGACTCGATTATTTACAGACCGCCAGTCATATAGCTGCAATAGGGGACACGGGTGGCCCAAACGCCACGATTCAATGTTCAGAGTTGCGTCCCTTGGGTCTGCCAGAAACCTGTGATTGTGGGTTTGAATCCCGGTTCACCCCGATTGTTTCTAGGTTTGTCAGCACCGTACACTTGCTCGTGGGTTTCACCGTAGTGGTAAATGTCTGATACCCGTATCACTATGGGCTTTCCTCCCACATTAAGCTGACACGCCACAATATAACTGGAATACTGTAAAAAGCGGCGTTTACCTAAACCACTCACTCACTCACTCACTGTAGGTGGAATATTACTGAGTGCGGAGTTAAGCCACTAACCAACCGTTCTGTGACCGACCATTGGATTGTCTGGTCCATTATCGATTATTTACAGACTGCTATCACAGAGCTAAAAAATATTGTTGAATCTGGCGTTAAACAACAATCCAAACAGTACAAAAAGCTGAATCTTCAAGTTGGAGATTTAACCTATTGTGCAAGAATTTCACAGTTATAGTAAAGAGTGAAGAAAAGCGTGTGTTGTCAGTTTTTGTACTTTAGTCAATGGTTTCAAAACCAACATGGTAATTTCTAAACTATACTAGATAAGATAGATTAACATTTAGTCACAGAAATAAACTTATGTTATATAAAAATATATATATATACAAAATAAGTAAAGTATAATCCAAATGGAGCCAAGACTCTTAATTTCACGGCTGAGGCAATATAGACTTGAGTTAAACTCCTCAATTCATGAATTCTCTGTGGTCTGGGAGACAGACATATCTAAGACTATTGGTTTGTTTAATCCAAGTATTCTTCACAATTAAGATCCATGCTTGCCGTAAAAGGCGACTATGATTGTAGTAAGAGGCGACTTACGGGATCAGGCGGTCAGGCTTGCTGACTTGGTTTGAAGCATGTCATCGATGCTCATGTTGTCAGTCACTGGATTGTCTGGTCCAGACTGGAATATTTACAGACCGCGGTCATTTAGCTTGAAAATCGCTGAGTGCGGCGTAAACCAACCAACCGTTCTGTGACCGACCATTGGATTGTCTGGTCCATTATCGATTATTTACAGACTGCTATCACAGAGCTAAAAAATATTGTTGAATCTGGCGTTAAACAACAATCCAAACAGTACAAAAAGCTGAATCTTCAAGTTGGAGATTTAACCTATTGTGCAAGAATTTCACAGTTATAGTAAAGAGTGAAGAAAAGCGTGTGTTGTCAGTTTTTGTATTTTGAAGTTAATGATCCGGTTAGTCGCCTTTTGACAAGCATAGTCGCTTATTACAGCAAGCATAGGCTGCTGAAGACCCATTCTATCCCGGATCTTTTCGGCTCAATTTATGTATTCTCTCAGGTCTTGGAGACAGACTATTGGTTTGTTAAATACATATATTCTTCACGATAAAGATCCATGCTTGCCGTGAAAGACGACTATGCTTGTCGTTAGAGGCAACAAACGGGATCAGGTAGTCAAGCTCGCTGACTTTGTTGATGCATGTCATCGATCCAAATTTGCGTTGATCGATGCTCATGATGTCAATCACTGGATTGTCTGGTCCAGACTCGATTATTTACAGACTGCCGTCATATAGCTGGAATATTGCTGAGAGCGGCGTTAAACAACCCAACCAAAACGTTAGTCGCCTCTTACAACAAGTGTAAACATTATTCCAGATGTATTTGAGTATAACAGTCAGTGAGTGCGTTGCTTTAACGCTGCTTTTAACAGTATTCCAGTTATATCGCCATGTGTCAGCTTAATGTAGGAGGAAAGCCCGAAGTGATGTAGGTCTCGGACGTTTACCACTTTGGTGAAACCCACGAGGTCGGGGATGGTGCTGACAATCTAGAAATATAATTTGGACGAACCGGGATTCGAACCCACAATCATAGGTTTCTGGCGTGCCCAAGGGACGTGGAACTCTGCTCAGCGAATCGCGGCGACTCGGACGACTGGGCCACCCGAGCACACTTAGAGTATAACACCAATGGGAGGGGGGAATTTCATCATTCTTGTATTTGTTTCAGATATGCCACGGAGCAAGAATTGGAGGAAGGTGCAGGCCATGCAGCGACGGATGGAGGAGTATCACCTCCCTAAAAAAGATACCGGGGATCGAAACCCCGTTAACAAAACACACGACGAGGATGCAAACCTCGATAAAAAATGCGCACACAAAACTTTGCCTTTGAGCAATCAAATGAATGAGCAATTGAGCAATCAATCAAATGAAATCGGCCTCGATAAAAATTGTCATCAGGGGGAAGCTAAACCTGAACAAATTCTTGAACATGATACTGAGGACGTCGTCCTCATTAAAGATTGTCATCAAATCACAAACCCTGAACAAATTTTTGAACATGTACATAAACCAATGCATGTAAGTGATATTGCAGTCTGCAAAATTGATATAGATGAAAGTAACTGTGCATCTACAAGCACTGTACAGAGTCATGAAAAACTAAATGATCAATGCACTGGCAATACCCAAAGATCAAAGGACTTGCATGTAAATGGAAAAGCACTGTGTGTACAAGGATCTTTTCATCAAGGCCATTCTAGATTTGGCAAAAACAGTGGCAGACAGTGTGTTGCAAACAGTGCATCTGCAATGTTATTCAACCAAATTTTGGATATTTCTTCATGGGACCGCTATGATCTTGATAACGTTCTTTGCATAGGAAATAAGCTTTATGAAGATTCTTTAGACGAGAGGTCATCAGCTATTCATAATCCATACCTTCTGGTATCTGAGATTCGTCCAAACGTCAACTTCTTTGACAAAGAATATACATTTGACCGTGATGAATCTTTTACTGGCTTTGTGCTGAAGGATATTATTGAAAATGTAGATATTCCACAAGTCAAGTGTCTCGATGCTGCACTTCAAACAGTATTTTCAAAACATAACTCCACATTTGTGACATTTGGAGGAACAACATTTGCAGTTGTAGAAAGCAATGAGCAATTCTATGTGTTTGATTCCCATTCTCGCAACACTGCAGGGTTACAAGTGCCTGATGGTAGTAGTATTCTTATCACGTACTCAAGCCTCCACGAGGTCCAGCAACACTGTATGAATCTTGCACGTTCAATGAACCTAAATGCAGACACACAATTTGAAGTTACAGGCACTACAATCACCTCTGATGTTGAGACAGATGTGACTCATAATAATTTGCTCATTTCTGAAAATCAGCCTGATACAAATGGGAATGAACCTGATGTGGTACACATTGATCAACTCGAGAACTCACAAGATGATAGTGTGGAAATAGTTGATATTGACGAAAGTGCAATGCTATTCTGCCCTATATCATCAGATATGTGTGAGGTGAGGTGAAATTGGGTTTAACGTCGCGTCCAAGATTATTGCACTTATATAGCGACGTTGATATGTGTGAACAATTGTGCAAACAACTTGGTATTCAACATCAATGTTTATCAATATGTCAAGATCATGAGTTTGGAGTGGAAATTGGTAAACCATGTAGAACAGTACCTATTGATGGTGATGGCAATTGCTTCTTTAGAAGTCTCTCGTATGTAATCTCTGGCAGAGAAAACAATCACAGAAAAATCCGACTGGCTGTTGTGGCACACCTAAGAGAACATGCTGAAAGCTTCCACCCGTTCTTAAGATCAGGTTATGACTCTGTTGAACAATACATCTCTCAATCAAGAATGTGGTATGTTAGAACATGGGCAACAGAACTAGAAATTCTTGCAGCTGCAAATCTATTGGGCATTGACATTTGCACATTCACTGATAACAGATGGCTGAGATATCCAAACACTCAGATAAACTCGGATACAGCACACACTGGCAGATGCATATATCTAAATCATGTTGGCGAATCACATTACGATGTAGTTGCTTGTGTCAACACTCTTGGTGCCCTGAGAAACACCTGTACTGACAAATATTGTGAGAAACATTTGAACAGCAGTGTTTGTAGAAGGAGAAAGAGAAATGCTAACCATTTATCTGTAGATGACAGAGAATCAGTTTTGAAAAAACAAAAACTTGATAGCACATTAAGTACTCATTCTCATGAAGTGACGATTGATAAAGGAGAGAAAATAAATGCAAAAGGAAAGTATGCACAAACAAAGGCTAAAAAAGAGTACATGAAAGCCAAAAGAAAATCAGAGAAAGATGAGTCTGAAACTTTCAATTTGAATGTGAAAGAGAGAAAACTTATTAAAGAGAAAGAAAAGTACAACACTGTACCTGAAATCAGAAACCGAAAGAAAGAGGCCAGTTCAATGAAATACAAACACAATGAAGCACACAGGGAATTTATCAAAAGCTACAGCAAACAACAGTACGCTGATGATGCAAAACATAAAGAAACACTTAAAATGTACAGCACTGAGAAATATGCCACAGATTCTGAACACAGGGAAGCACTTAAACTTCATAGCAGTCAGAAATATGCCACAGATTCTGAACACAGGGAAGCACTTAAACTTCATAGCAGTCAGAAATATGCCACAGATTCTGAACACAGGGAAGCACTTAAACTTCATAGCAGTCAGAAATATGCCACAGATTCTGAACACAGGGAAGCACTTAAAACCCATAGCAGTCAGAAATATGCCACAGATTCTGAACACAGGGAAGCACTTAAAACTCATAGCAGTCAGAAATATGCCACAGATTCTGAACACAGGGAAGCACTTAAAACTTATAGCAGTCAGAAATATGCCACAGATTCTGATCACAGGGAATCAGTCAAAACTTATAGCAGTCAGAAATATGCCACAGATTCTGAACACAGGGAATCAGTCAAAACTTATAGCAGTCAGAAATATGCCACAGATTCTGAACACAGGGAATCAGTCAAAACTTATAGCAGTCAGAAATATGCCACAGATTCTGAACACAGGGAAGCAGTTAAAACATACAGCAGTCAGCAATATTCTAAAGATCCTAAGCATAAGGAAACTTTGAAATCATACAGTACTCAGAAATATGCAAAAGATGCAGTCCACAGGGAATCTGTTAAAACAGCCAGCATTGCAAAGTACAAAACTAGTAGTGAACATAGAGAAAATTTGAAAGAGAGACAATCTGCCAGGGTTATGCAAATAACTAAACAAAGAAAAATAATGACGAATGTTACAAAATCCTTTGTCAAGAACATTTCTGAAGGTCCAGAATTTGTGTGCTCAGTATGTCATCGAAGACTTTTCAAAAAACAGGTTATTCAATGCAAACGAACTGTGTATGAAAGCAAAGGAAACAATGTAGCAGCTGTATCTGAGAAATGCATCACTGACACTTACCTACACAAATGCACCAACAGTTGTGATGACCAATGTTCGTTTGTCAATTGTCCAGAAGGCACATTGTGGATTTGCTACACTTGTCATAGAAAACTTTTGTCTGGTAAAATGCCTGCAGAAGCTGTTGTTAACAACCTAGAACTGAGCCCTGTTCCTATGCCGCTGCAATGTCTAAATGAACTAGAGCAGCACTTGATTGCCTTGAATATTCCTTTCATGAAAATGATGGCATTGCCAAAAGGTGGACAACATGGCGTACACGGACCTGTAGTATGTGTTCCATCTAACATTCAGAAAAGCACCAGTATCTTACCAAGATGTGATGTAGATGATCAGATGATCAGAGTGAAACTAAAGAGAAAGATAACTTACAAAGGCCATTATCAATATCAGTTTGTCAACAAGGCTCATGTTAACAATGCTTTAGAATATCTTCGAACAAACAACACCTGGTACAGAGATGTGAATATTAATGAAGAATGGGTCAATCCCCTACCAGTCATTCCTGAGGAAAATGAAATTAATGATTCTGATACTGACACTGACACATTACCTGATCTTGATAAGGATAGATCAAGATTGCAAATTACTGACAATATTGAGTCTGAGAAAGAGCATGGATTACTTTTGAATACCTGTCTACAACCTCTTGATATTGGCCAAGAAGTTCTTGATCAACATTTTGAAAAGATAACCTGTGTTGCACCTGCAGAGGAAAATAATCCTGTCCGAGTATTGACAGACAAGAGCAATGAAGCGAGATCATTTCCAGTATTGTTCCCTTCAGGGTCATCTACCTTCCATGATGATCGTGAAGAGAGAATAACACTTGCACGCTACCTGCACACACGCCTAATGAATGCTGATTGTCGATTTGCGCAAAACACTGACTACATATTTTATGCTCAGTATCTTTCTGAAGTTGAACAAGTTATGTCAAATGTTTCCATTGCAATGCGCAAGGGATCACAGTGTCATGGTAGAAAGGTTACCACTGAAAATCTTACAGATGCTGATTCCCTAAGGGGCATATTAAAATCTGATGAAGGATACAGGTTCTTGAAACCCATAAGAGGAACTCCACCTTTTTGGCAATCTGCCCAAAAAGATTTATTTGCAATGTTGAGACAACTAGGTGTACCAACTTGGTTCTGTTCATTCTCATCAGCTGATATGAGGTGGCCAGAAATGATCGAAACAATACTTCGAGAAAAAGGGGATAAACGTAAAGCAAGTGAACTTGACTGGTCAGAAAAATGTTTTGTACTGAGAAAGAATCCTGTGACTGCAGCTCGTATGTTTGACCAAAGATTTCATTGCTTCTTGAAAGAGGTTATCATGTCTCCTGCAGAACCAATTGGAAAGATAAAAGATTACTTCTATCGTGTAGAATTTCAGCACCGTGGTTCCCCACACACTCATTGCCTTTTCTGGGTTGACAATGCGCCAAAGATTGATAAAGACAATGATGAAGCAGTAAAATCCTTCATTGACAACTATGTTACATGTGAAATGCCTTCAGTTGAGAATGATGAAGAATTGTACAATATTGTCAACAGTGTGCAGAAACATAGCAAAAGACATTCAAAGACATGTAACAAAAATGGCACAACATGCAGGTTCAATTTTCCTCGTCCACCAAGCAGTGAAACTTTCATTTCACGACCAGGCGATCAAGATACCAATGAAAAAAATAAAAATGAGCCAAAAACCTTGGAACAAACACGTGAATCTGTTAAACTGATGACAAACATAGATGCAAAAGCAATTTTGAAACTAATTTGGCGAGCACTAACAAATGATGAGCAAACATTTGAGTCAGTCGAAGCATTATTCACTACTATCGGGATTTCGCAAGATATGTTTGAATTGGCATGTGCAACCCTAGCCACAAAAACAAACGTTGTGTTGAAACGCAAGCCTAATGATGTATGGATAAATCAGTACAATGCAAATCTCCTCAGATGCTGGAACGCAAACATGGACATTCAGTATGTAGTTGATGCCTACTCTTGTGTTGTGTACATCATTTCATACATTTCTAAAGCAGAAAGAGAAATGGGATTACTGTTGAATCATGCCCAAAAAGAAGCAAATAAAGATAATACTGATGCAAAATCTGCGCTGAAGAAAATTGGTGCTGTATACTTACACAATCGAGAAGTGAGTGCTCAGGAAGCTGTGTTTCGAGTTTGCAATTTGAGATTGAAGGAAGGATCACGTAAAGTACAGTTCATACCAACCGTAGACCCTGTCAAAATGAGTTTGCCACTTAAAACTTTGAAAAACAAACAACAAAATGGTGAACTAGATGAAGATGAAATGTGGATGACAAGCATTGTTGATCGATACAAGAGCAGACCCAAAGGTGACGAGTTCAATAACATGTGTCTTGCTACTTTTTGCTCAGAATACAGAGTGGTGTCAAAATCTGAAGTTACAAGGGTGTCTGATGCAAAACGGCATAGTCCACTAGTAACATTGCAAAATGGCCTTGGTCATGTGAAAAAACGTACTCGAACTGATGCAGCAGTTATCAGATATGCCAGATTTTCTCGTACAAAGGATCCAGAGAAATACTATCACAGTATGCTGCAGCTATTCTTGCCATATACATTTGATACTCAGTTAAAACCAGATGCTTTCAATTCATATGAAGATTTCTATCGAACTGGTGCTGTCCAGATTGCAAACTGTCCTGTGGAAACTGTGAAAGAGATTGTTGACAGAAACAAAGGCATGTTTGAGAAAGATGCTGAAGTTATTGATGACGCAGAGGAATTGTTTGAACAATTTGGTCAATTGGAAGATGCTTGGGCTCAAATTTGTCCAGAGACTGAATCTGAAAGACTAGAATGTGAAGATGCACATACTCGTATATCCGATGAGGAAACAGAAACTGAATCTGTTAGAAACATGCCTGACTTGCTCCAGCCTAATAACACACTATCTAAAACAGAGCTACTTCAGAGTACAGTGTCGAGGCAGGAAGCGAACACTATTTTGAGATCAATGAATAAAGAACAAGCTGATATTTTCTACAAAATAAGACAATGGTGTTTGGATAAAAAGAATGGCAAAAATCCTGATGCATTTAAGCTATTTCTGACTGGTGGAGCTGGTACTGGAAAAAGCCGTTTGATCAAGGCCATTTGCTATGAATCTACACGACTTCTAGCCCCTATCCAAAACAATCCAGATGACATCTCTGTACTTTTGGTAGCTCCAACTGGTGTTGCAGCATTTAACATTAATGCATCCACAATACACAGTGCACTCTCAATTGGAATTGATGCAAAACTGCCATACCAGCCACTTGGTGAGGAAAAGGTCAATAGCCTTCGATCAAAGTTGCAAAGTATTCACATACTTATCATCGATGAAATATCAATGGTTGATCACAAGCTGTTATCATACATTCATGGTAGACTGAGACAGATCAAACAAACTGCTGATTATTCACCATTTGGAAATGTATCTGTAATTGCTGTTGGCGACTTTTATCAGTTACCACCTGTTAAGGGTACACCTTTATATGTTGGCACAAATGGATTTGACCTCTGGAATGACAATTTCTCTATCGCAGAATTGACCATGATCATGAGACAAAAAGACCCTGCATTTGCACAACTTCTGAATAGGTTACGAACACGAAAAAGATCAGAGCCTCTTGAAACAAGTGATGTCAATATGCTAATGCAACAAGAAACTGGTATAGAGGATGCTGATTCCATTCACATTTTTGCAACAAACGCTCAGGTTGATGAATTCAATGTCACTGCCCTTCATTCTAAATGTACAGATCCAATTTCCATTCAAGCACAAGATTTCTCAAGAAATCTGAAAACAGGGAAACTTGAAAAGAGAGAAAACCCTCATGTGAAAGTTTATAACTCAGTCTTACAAAAAAGTCTATTTGTAGCAATTGGTGCTCGTGTGATGATCACAAAAAATATTGATACATCAGATGGTCTTGTGAATGGAGTATTTGGAACTATTAGCCACATATCTTTGACTGATGGTGAAGCATTTCCTTCGAGCATATATGTTGTGTTTGACAATGATAAAGTTGGTCACAAACTACGAAACCTGAAAGGGACTGCATCTGCATTACAAACAACCAGTACTCCCATCTCACCACTTGAAGAAACTGTTTCAAACAATGGAGGCATTAGACGACAATTTCCACTCAAACTAGCCTGGGCTTGCACCATACACAAAGTACAAGGGATAACAGTGAACAAAGCTGTCGTTTCATTGGGCAAGATCTTTGCAGCAGGACAAGCTTACGTGGCATTAAGTCGAGTATCCTCTCTTGGAGGTCTGATCATTGAGAATTTTAAAGAGTCGGTCATATACAGCAGTGAAAAAGTCGAGGCAGCAGTGTCTTGTATGCCAAAGTTCATGAATGCAAATCAGAGACTAAATGATGGTCATGCTACATGTACATTCATTTTGCAAAACATTGAGGGCCTTCAATCACATATTCAAGATTTGCAGAATGACAGGAGGTTTTTTGAGGCCGATTTCATTTGCTTGACAGAAACATGGTTATCTGATACACATCTGCCTGATGAACCAAAACTTGATAGATTTACATTGCATCATAAAACCAGATCACAGTCCTATGAATCGTCTGAACAAATGCTGATGGAATTAAAGAATCAAACTCATGGTGGCGTTGGAGTTTATTGTAGTGAAAACAAAACCTGTGAATTTCCTCAGTTTCCAGTAACAAATCTAGAGTATCTGGCATTTTATGTCATGGAACTGCAAGCTCATGTTGTTATCATCTACAGGCCAAACTCATACAAAGTTGATATTTTCAGAAAGCATTTATTGCAACTTGTTCAGGAACTTGACAAACATTCTGCTCGATCGATTATCATGGGTGATTTCAATGAGAATGTCTTTTCATCATCTTCCATACAAACTTTGATGGAATCGAATGGTTTTACACAAATAGTTTCAGAATCTACCACTGAAAGTGGAACGCTTATTGACCACGTATATGTCCGAGGACTTGAGAATGTATTGGTGCATATTCTTCCAACTTATTATGGTTACCATGAAGCTATTGAAATCAAACTTTGAATTAAACTGTACAAATGATGAAAGCAATTTGTCATGTGATAATGATAATCAAAGCCAGGGGGGTATGGGGTAGGGGTATGGTATTGAGCTGGAAGGGCCCCCCTGTAGATACTGGTACGCCAGAAAATGTCTATCAGGTGCAAATGTCATTGTAAATATGTACAAATCAACTGATTTATGAATAATCCGATGTCAATTAGGTGAGCTTGTTATGCTTATTGATGTATTGTTTTCCCGTTTCATGAAAGATTATGACATTTGACAATTAAAATTATCCCCCTCATCAACGACGTTGCCGGGGGATATTGAAATGGGTTCCGTCCGTCCGTGTGTGCGTTCCGAAATCGTTTCCGGAATATAACTCAGAAACCGTTTAATATTTCTCTTCGTTCTGAACTGGTGTATTTTGATATTTAGGGATTTTAGAAATGTTTATTTTTTACGTTTCCATGGCAACAAGTTGGACTTCGGTTCTATGGAGTAGAGTTCGTTTCCAGAGCATAACTCAAAACCCATTCAATAGTTTCTCACAAAACTTTGCCAGACACATACTGAACTGGTGCCTTTTGATATTTGGCACTTTAAGAAATGTTTATTTTTTACGTTTCCATAGCAACAAGTTTGACTTTAAAAAGAATATGGGTAGAGTTCGATTCTGGATTAAATTTTCCCCATCTATCAGACACATGCTGAATTGTTGCCTTTTGCTATTTATGAATTTTAGAAATTTATATTACTGGGCATTATTTCCAGAGCTTGACTCATACACCATTTAATATTTTCCAATGAAACTGTGTTAAAATTGGCGGGAGATATAGATGACTTCGTCAGCTATACGCTTGTTATAATTTTGGAATGCTCCTCTAAACCATGTGTTCTTGCTGTGTGATGTTCGAAAGAAATTAGGGAATATTTATCATGCTAATATTTAAAAAAAAGTTTAGTAGAAGTCTTTGATCTCGGCAACAATGTCCTGTTTTATTATTGTATGAACAGTTGATTATGAAGAAAACATCACTGATTTCTCCGCATTGTTACCGGGTCGATCTGAATTGGAACTGATTGGTTCTGCTTCAACATGTTCAATGAACGGTAAACAAAATATGTTGTGATGACAAGTTTCTGGACTGAAAACTGAATGGGTTACCTTGTATTTGAAAACATCTCTCAAATACAGTATATGACAGTTGAAGAGACATCATTTTACGAGTAATTGAAGAAGATGCATAACGTCATATCCAGACTCAATGAGAGAATCACCTAAGAACTACCAGTACCTTATCATCTATTACCATGTTTATCTTCTATCAACGAAAACCGTTATCTTTCTGATGCAACCAGTGGACATCAGATGGTACATATGGAAACTGAACAAGAACTGTTGACGTGTGTGAGAGTAACAGAATGTCGTGACCTTTACCTTCACTGACGACAGGTGCCAGATGTATGACAACACTTGTTTTGTGTGCTCACCCAACCTTAAAAGGGATTCCTGACTCTGAACAATTGAATTTGTCTCCAATTTGATTGGACCAATGTTTGAAATTGTACTCCAAAGTCATCATGTCACATCATAAAGTGTTGTCAGTAACTAGTCCAGCACTTGTATAACACTTGTGATTTCAGGGACATCCTTCCAATTCCATCACAGTTCATCATTATAGAAGTCATTTCAAGCTCCAGTTCTTCATTCATGTTATCATAGCTGACCCATGATCAATTCTTTAATTAGAAATCGACCCCTTTCACAATTTTATGTAATAGCAATGTTTTCGTAGTTTCAATATTCCCTAATTTCTTCCCAAGAAGGTATATAGCGCATAGCAATACGATTTAGTATTTTATCATCTTATTTTGCAAGAGCAATTATTGTGCAGTTACTCTGACCTTAAACCTTCATCAAACCATAATTTTCTGTAATTAAGAGTAGGATGTACATCAAAACATGCTACTTACATCAACTGATCTATCTTGTGGAACATGTTATTATAATAACATCTGTCCTCCTTGGACAAAGGCGTAAAGACTATAAGGGTTATGATAAATGTGTGTGTTTCCTATTTCAGCCCACCCGCTAAGATTATATCAATTTTTATAAATGACTATTTTTATGTGAAGCACAACAAAGTTGCAAATTATAACAATGTGTTCAATAACAATGTTCCGTTTTTAGTTATGTATTATGTCACTTGAAATATAAACAAACATTAATGATTCATTGTGATGTTATTTCTTTGAACAATTAATCAGAAGTAAAATCCTATTTGTTATCCATCAAACGACATCTTTATTATTCGTTCATTATGCAGATAATAGTTTGGTGTGGGATGCATTGAAACCAGAAATAGAAAATCAAAATGCATTTCAAGAAATAAGTTCAGCGGAAAACATTACAATCACGTAACATTGATAATGTTTAATCAAAAGTCCCTCTCATACAAGATCACCTATAACGTTAAATAATAAAAGGTGACCGACATCTGATGATTCTAAAAAAATGCCGCAGAAACACACCCTAGAATACATTTGCTGAAACACAGCAGACATGACACTGGAACATATACCTTTTTAGTGGTTTGTTTGTAAGTTTGTGTAACGCCGTTATCAGCAATTTTCCAGCTATAAGACAGTGGTCTGTAATCAATCGAGTGTGTGCCAGACAATCCAGTGATTGACAACATGGGCTTCGATCCACGCAATTGGGATCCCGGATCTTCACGAGTCTGCGCAATTGGAATGAGATGACATGCATCAATCAAGTCAGCAGTCTCCGATCCGGTTAGTTGCCTCTTACGACAAGCATAGTCACCCTTACCGCCTGCAACCATGGGTTACTGGAGATCTATTCTTAGCCGGATCTTCACAGGACCCTTTTGAGTAGTCCCCTCCTTATCAGGATATCGCTCCCTTCTATCTGCACCACTTATCAAAGCCTGTGCTCATATAGTTTGAGACAAGTAGTGAGGGGTAAATACATCACGAAAACCACCAATCTAATTTGGCTGCCAAACAATGCCATTTGTCATCATGAAACCTCGAGGCGATGTTGATGGACTCTCTTGCCAAATGTTTTATGTCAATAAACAAGTAGTTTCGGAGATGATTGCTGCTAAACAAAGCAACGTTCTCACGAACGCACACACAGACACATGTACATAAACATACGTACAAACGTACGCACGCCCAAACCACACAAATAACACACGTACAAACACTCCCAAAAACGCGCACAAACGCAAACGCACGCTCGAACTAACATACTCACGCACACGAAAAACGAACAAATGCACACACCAACTAACGTGCGCAAACCGCCCGAAATCACAGGAAATGGCCCCGAAACACACGGGTAACAAAGTTTGATGTGCTAGATATGGAGAACATTCTCAGAAAGTTTCAAAGCATTCCATTCAGTGGATTCATAGGAGTACCTTGAATCCAATATGGCTGCCAAACCACGTGACCAATGACCAAGATCAAAGAACATGAAATGTCAAGCACCCAAAGCAGCAGAGACGTCTAATGTTTGAAAGTAATCGGACAAGCGGTTGCAAAGCAATAGGGCCAAATATAGCTTTAAAAAATTGCAAGTTTTTCAGTTATCTGCCCTTGGCCATTGGGCCTATGGCCTTGGAATTTGTGTGGTATCTGGTACGTAAGTATCTTGATACACATACACATTATGAGCGGAATCGAGGCAGTGGTTATTATGCTAGCTCTGGTGCAAAAATCGGCGGAATAATAATAATATTAAATCAAACGATAGCACTTGGACTCTTCAGATTTTCGGCTTGGTGACTCTCAAACAAACTGTAACTTCTTTGTCAGTTGGGCTCCAGTCAAATGGATGAGAGTTCTGAGTTCGTCAGGGCCCCGGGTGAGATAAAGTGCTAAACCTGTTTCCGACCTCGTCCATATTCAAATCCCCAATGGGTTTACCTGTACCAACGCCGTCCAATGTAAGGAACCGCTTGTGAGGCATCACAACTACGAAATTGACATGTGCCCGAGTGTCCCATGGTGTTTTAACCAATTTCCGACTTCCCATGTTTGACCTCGGTCATGTTCGAATCCGCATTTGGTTTGCTTGTACCAACGCCGTCAAATGTAATGAACCGCTTGTGAGACATCACCAATGTGCCCCAGTGTATTCTTAACCCATGTTTGATTTCGACCATGTTCGAATCCACATATGGTTTGCTTGTACCAACGCTGTCAAATGTAATGAACCGCTTGTGAAACATCACCTCGTGTGTCCCAGTGTGTTCTTAACCCCTGTTTGACTTCGACCATGTTCGAATCCTCAAATGGTTTGCCTGTACCAACGCCGTCAAATGTAATGAACCGCTTGTGAGACATCCCCACATATGTCCCAGTGAGTTCTTAACCCATGTTTGACTTCGACCATGTTCGAATCCTCAAATGGTTTGCCTGTACCAAAGCCATTAAATGAAATTAACCGCTTGTCAGACATCCCCACATATGTCCCAGTGTGTTTTCAACCCATTTCCGACCTCGAATCATCATGTTCGAATCCTCAAAGGGTTTGCTTGTACCAACTCCGTCGAAAGAAGTCACTGTTTGCAGGACATCACCACTACGAAATTGGTGTGTGCCAGAGTTAACCAGAGTGTTCTAAACCCATTTACCACCCAGACAATGTTCGAATCTCGGTAATCGCCTCTTGAGACAAGCATGGGTTGCTGAAGACCAATTCTAACCCTCAGAATACATACTGCAAAAGACACTTGACGGTCAAAGGGAAATAATCCTGAGTTTTCTCATATAGCTTTTAAAATTGCTTATTTTTCAGTTATCTGCCCTTGGTCTTTGGGCCTACGGCCTTGGAATTTGTGTGGTATCTGGTACGTAAGTATCTGGATACACATACCAAATTTGAATGGAATCCAGGCAGTGGTTATTATATTAGCTCTGGCACAAAAATCGGCGGAATAATAATAATATTAAATCGAACGATAGCACTTGGACTCTTCAGCTTTTAGGCTTGGTGACTCTGAACCAGACTGTTACTTCTTTGTCAGTTGAGCTCCAGTCAAATGGATGAGCGTTCTGAGTTTGTCAGGGTTTATGTCGTATTGCTGAGATAAAGTGCTAAACCTGTTTCCGACCTCGTCCATGTTCGAATCCTCAAATGGTTTGCCTGTACCAAAGCCGTCAAATGTAATGAACCGCTTGTCAGACATCACCACGTGTGCCCCAGTGTGTTCTTAACCCATGTTTGACTTCGACCATGTTCGAATCCTCAAATGGTTTGCCTGTACCAACGCCGTCAAATGTAATGAACCGCTTGTCAGACATCACCACATGTGTCCCAGTGTGTTCTTAACCAATGTTTGACATCGACCATGTTCGAATCCTCAAATGGTTTGCCTGTACCAACGCCGTCAAATGTAATGAACCGCTTGTGAGACATCACCACATGTGTCCCAGTGTGTTCTTAACCAATGTTTGACTTCGACCATATTCGAATCCTCAAATGGTTTGCCTGTACCAACGCCGTGAAATTTAAGGAACCGCTTGTGAGACATCCCCACATGTGTCCCAGTGTGTTCTTAACCCATTTCCGACCTCGAATCCTCATGTTCGAATCCTCAAATGGTTTGCCTGTACCAACTCCGTCAAAAGATAGTCACTGTTTGCAGGACATCGCCACTACGAAATTGGTGTGTGCCAGAGTTAACCAGAGTGTTCTAAACCCATTTACCACCCAGACAATGTTCGAATCCCGATCATCGCCTCTTGAGACAAGCATTGGTTGCTGAAGACCAATTCTAACCCTCATCTTCAAGGGTAGTATACATACTGCAAAAGACACTTGACGGTCAAAGGGAAATAATCCTGAGTTTTCTGAGCGATGTTTTCGGTATTTTGTCAATATTATCACCAGGCTGTGTTACTTTTTGCATGCAACCAAGAACAAAAGATGAGGTACATATGGCACACTAACTTCATGTAAACTTTCAATAGTTTCTGTGGAGAACCTTACAAGATGTGATCTTTATTTAAAGGAACAATTCGGTGAAAGAAATCATCAAAATCAAAATCAAACAGAGCCGTCACTAAGACAGATATCCAAAAACGGCTAACAGAGTTTGGTGTGTTATGTGTGGAGACAATTCTCAGAAAGTTTGAAAGCATTTCATGCAGTGGATTCAGAGGAGATAGTATTTGAAGACAGGTACCCAAAAAACCCTGTGAAAACCTTGAATCCAATATGGCAGCAACTAAAAAAGATATCCAAAATCGGCTAACAGAGTTTGATGTGATATGTATGGAGACAGTACTCAGAAAGTTTGGATGCATTTCATGCATTGGATTCAGAGGAGATAGGATTTGAAGACAGGTACCCCCAAAACCCTGTAAAAACTTTGAATCCAATATGGCTGCCAAACCACGTGACCAGTGGCCAAGATCAAAGAACAGAAAATGTTAAGCACCCTAAACAGCAGACATGTGTAAAGTTTGAAAGTAATCAGACAAGCGGTTGCGGAGCAATAAGGCGAAATATATCTTCAAAAAATACTTGTTTTTCAGTTATCTGCCCTTGGCCATTGGGCCTACGGCCTTGGACTTTTTGTGGTATTTGGTACCTAACAACTTGCACACACACACAAAATTTGAACAAAATCGAGCCAGTGGTTAAACTGCTATCTCTGGAACAAAAAACGGCGGAATAATAAATAATAATAATAATAATAATAATAATAATAATAATAATAAATTAAAGCTGCAAGCAGCATTGGCGGGCTCCAAGTTACACTGTGCACAAACGTCCATGTTCGAATCCTTAAAGGGTTTCCTTGTACCAAATCCGTCACAAGTAGGCACAACTTGCAGGGTATTGCGCTACGAAATTGGTGTGTGCTAAGTCTGTTTTAAACCCATTTCCGACATCAAACATGTTCGAATCCTCTAAGGGTTTGTTTGTACCAACTCTGTCAAAAGATAGTCACCGTTTGCAGGACATTGGCGTGTTCCAGGGGTGTCCCAAATTATAATCAAATATTACCACCAAGTGTTGTTACTTTTTCCATGCACCCAAGAACAGAAAATAAGATGCATATGATACACTAACTTCATGTAAACTTGCAATAGTTTCTGTCAACACGCTAACAAGATATGATCGTTAAAGTAAAATTTCGGTAATTTTTTTTATCAAAATCAAAATCTAATACAATCGCAACTAAAACAGATATCCCAAAACGGCTATGAGAGTTTGCTGTGTTGTGTGTGGAGACAATTCTCAGAAAATTTGGAAGCATTTCATGCAGTGGACTCGGAGTTGTTTGCGTTTGAAGACAGGTACCCAAAAGACACTGTGAAAACCTTGAATCCAATATGGCTGCCAAACCATGTGACCAATGACCAAAGTCAAAGAACAAAATATGTCAAGCAGCTCAAGCAGCAGATACATGCAAGTTTTCAAAGTAATCTGATAAGCGGTTGCGGAGCAATAGGGCGAAATACATCTTTAAAAACGTCTTGATTTTTAGTTATCTGCCCTTGGCCTTTGGACCTACGGCCTTGGGGTTTTGGCGGGCTCTAGTACCCAACGGCCTTCATACACATACAAAATTTGAACAAAATCGAGCCAGTGGTTATTTTGCTAGCTCTGGTACAAAAATCGGCGGAATAATAATAATATTAAATCAAACGATAACACTGGGGCTCTTCAGCCTTTCGGCTTGGGGACTCTTCAACAGGCTGTAACTTCTTTGTCAGTTGGGCTCTCAAACGGATTAGCGTTCTGCGTTCGTCCGGGCCCGGGGTTCCTGTCGCATTGCTGAGATAAAGTGCTAAACTTGTTTCCGACCTCGTTCATATTCGAATCCTCAAAGGGTTTACCTGTACCAACGCCGTCAAATGTAAGGAACCTCTTGTGAGACATCACCACTACTAAATTGACATGTGCCTGGGTGTCCCAGGATGTTTTAACCAATTTCCAACTTTGACCATGTTCGAATCCTCAAATGGTTTGCTTGTACCAACGCCATTATATGTAAGGAACCGCTTGCGAGACATCACCACACGTGTCCTAGTGTGTTTTTAACCCATGTCTGACTTCGACCATGTTCGAATCCGCATATGGTTTGCTTGTACCAACGCCATCAAATGTAATGAACCGCTGGTGAGACATCACCACATGTGTCCCAGTGTGTTCTTAACCCATGTTTGACTACAACCATGTTCGAATCCCGAAATGGTTTGCTTGTACCAACGCCGTTAAATGTAATAAACCGCTTGTGAGACATCATGACATGTGTCCCAGTGTATTCTTAACCAATGTTTGACTTCGACCATGTTCGAATCCGCACATGGTTTGCTTGTACCAACTCCATCAAAAGATAGTCCACGTTTGCAGGACATTGCCGCTACCAAATTGGCGTGTGCCACAGTTTCCCAGAGTGGACTAAATGCCAACCTCCATATTCTAATCCGCAAATGGTTTGCAAATGGTTTGCTTTTAACAACGCTGTCAAAAATAAGGTACCGTAGCAATTGGCAATTGAGAAATGAAGAATCAAGTCAGCGAGTCTGATCACCCAATCCGATCAGTCGCCTCCTGTGTCAAGCATAGTTGCCTCTTGAGACAAGCATCGTTTGAAAAAGGCCAATTCTAACTCTGGTCGTCAAGGGTAGTACACATAATATTGAACAAGGCTGTGGAGAACGCTAGGGTATCTGCAAAGCCAGTGAATGGGGGTTTATAGTAGATTTATGAGGCGCTTCCATCAGTATTTGTACTTGGGTGAATTTTTTTATCAAAATCAAAATCCAATATGACCGCAACTAAAAAAGATATAAAAAAACGGCTATGCTCATTTGTTGTGTTCTGTATGGAGACAATTCTCAAAAAGTTTGAAATCATTTCATGCAGGGGATTCAGAGGAGATAGTATTTGAAGACAGGTGCCCATAAAACCCTGTCAAAACCTTGAATCCAATATGGCTGCCAAACCATGTGATCAATGACCAAAGTCAAAGAACAAAAAATATCAAGCAACTTAAGCAGTAGATACATGCAAGGTTTGAAAGTAAACGGGCAAACG